AGAAACGGAACACACATAGAGAGACACAAAAAGGGAGAGAGAGAGAGGGAGAGAGGAGGGAGAGAGATAGAGAGACACAGATAGAGAGAAACAGAGGAGAAAGAAAAGAAGAATCCAAAGAACAAAGAAAGAAAAACATCATTCAAGTCAAGAAGATCATGCAAAATGATGAAGGCACAATAAGCACGAAGTACAATCCATCTCCATTTTATTAAAAGAAAACAAAATAATATTTATTTGCTCTCTCTCTCTCTCTCTCTCTCTCTCTCTCTCTCTCTCTCTCTCTCTCTATCTATCTATCTATCTATCTATCTATCTATCTATAAATCTATCTCTCTATCTATATATCTGTTACGATCCTGGTCATTTCCCAAGTGCAAATTCACAATGAAAGACAATGCCACCTAATTGCGAAAGAAATGAAAGCACTTGCAAAGAGATAAAGACCAGAGGAGAGGTAAATAAGAATAAGAATAAGAAGAAGAAGAAGAAGAAGAAGAAGAAAAGGAAGAAGAAGAAGAAGTACACCAGCAAGACCAATGACAATTCCCCCTTCTCTCTCCACCTTCCTCCTTCCCCCTTCTCTTCACCAATCTTATTCTTCTCTCAATAATAATAATAACAATGAATGGATGAACCARAATCAATATCCGAAGTTCCCTCTTACTGCTGACTCAACTCACAACAACAACAACAACAACAAGTCCACCATGGCTATGTCTTCCCTCCTTCAACCTCCTCTCTCATACATAGGCCATGGCGGACTACTGGGTGGCAGCTATGGTGCTGCCATGATGTCTAGAAGACAACCCAAAGCAGCTATGCCGCTGCTTGACTTGGTCTGCTATGCTTGACTCTGCCTTGAGCTGCTCTGGTGCAGCGCTACCCCAACTGGGGCCTTCCAGATGCAGCGCCCAACAAGGTGATGAATATGGTGTCCACCATAGCTAGGTAAGTGCCCTACCACTCTCCTACCATGCCCCCTTCTTCCTCCTCCTCAAGCTGGGGTGCTCGCCATAGCCAGGCTGAGCCCCAGCGGACCTTCACCTCCAAGCAGCGCTGCTTCAGTCCAGCGCTTCGCTCCAGCAGCATGTCGCCAATCCTTGCATAGCGCAAAATGAGGAAGAGCTTTCCGCTCTTCCTGAAGATATAGCGGCCTACCGGCCTCCTGGGCGGTGACTTCCTAGGCCAAGCAGCCTCCCAGCAACCGGTACCTCCTCCCTTTTGGAGGGAAACATCATTGCAGGCTCTGTTATTGTCCGCACAGGCCCTAGACCCGGGCTACTTGGACTGGTACCGGCCTACCTCTAACCTACCGCTACTGGGCCTCTAAAAATGCCAACTTTTTGTCTTCTTCTGCTCGGCCTACCTGCTACTTGAGTGTTTTTCCCCAGATGCTCTAAGTGTCGTGGGCCTACTCCCCGCTACCAGCATGTTTACCCCCCTGCAACCCCTCAAAGTCACGGCCACAGGTAAGTACCGGCCCGGTGGGCATTGCAACCAACAAGCACCCTTGCGGGTCACACACACATACCCAGCCAGCAAGCACTCAGACAGGCATGCAACCCAGCAGGCACGCACACACACCCAACTGGCAAGCACTCAGACAGGCATGCAAACCAGCAGGCACGCATACACACAGACTTGGGACCACAACAGAATGCGGGAATCACAACAAGGCATTCATTCCATTGGCAAATCCCATAAATCAGCAGTGTTCACAGTCTGTGTTTTTGGCGGGTCATTACATTACTCCCCTCTCGAGAGCGAGGTCCCTTCGAGCGAGTAACTCAGTCAGAGTCAGCGCAAAAGGCGTCGTAGGCATAGATAAAAAAGAGAGTGTTAGTGAGACCGAACGGAGTGAGTTCTGCAGCAAACTTAGCGGTCTGTCCATCAACAATCTGTCGTTCATATGCGTTCACAACACGTGGAGCACTCTTCAGCAGTTCTTTCCGGTCGATCCAGAAGAATTCGTTCAACGGGTGGTAGAGGAAGTGAACCTTGTACTATCTGTTCCTCCCTCTCCCTTCGTGAGAAACGATTCTGTCAATCTCATGGCCGCCGTCAATAGGGCGAGGTATCATAGGGTCTCGAAAGGGAAAGGTCTCATAATCAATGTGTGGGAACAATTTGGAGGCATGGAAGACTGGATGCGTGCGCAGATGAGGAGGCACGTCAATCACATACGAAGGACCGAAATCATCCCCAATCACCTTCAGGATCTGCCAAGGGCCGTAGTACAATGGAAGAAGCTTTCGTGGCATGCCCTCTTCATCAGAAAACTCAGACATTTTGACCCAAACATAATCCCCAACTTTGAACTTTCATTCCCTGCGCAGCTTGTTAGCATGTTTGATCATGGCATGCTGGCGCTTGTTCATGGCTGCAGTAACAACTTTGAGCAAGCGTGCGTACTTAGCATTGTAGCCAGGCATGTCAGGCATCAGACCAGGTGACCGTTCGGGGAACAGATAGGAGAGGGGATTGCGCATCGGCCATCCATACTGCAGCTGGTTTGGTTTCACGCCAGTTGCAGAGTGAATGAAATTGTTATACAGTCTCTTTACCTTATGCAGCTCTTTGTCCCACATGTTCTGATCTGGAACAATCAATGCGCGGAGTAGTTGGATGACAGTCTGGTTGATCTCCTCAGCCAATCCATTGGCTTCGAGGTGTTGACCAAAAGTCTTGTTCAGTTTAATGTCATAGATCTGCGACGTGAAGTCCTTCCAATCGGCGCTGATGAATCTGGTATCCCGATCACTCACAAGAATTTTCGGGGGTCCATACTGCAGAATGTACTGTTGGTGAAATTMTTCAATTACTAGCTCAGTYGGTGCATGAGGAGGTARAGGGATCAAGTTCAGAAATTTAGAAAAGCGATCCACAATCACCATAACTTGWGAATTCCCTGCTGCASTCACCTTTCCCATGTCCGTGAAATCGATRGAGACCGATTCCCCGGGACCRTCAGGAATTGGTRGGGGTCTCARCARGCCATAAGGCTTATGCCTATGGACTTTTGTTCTTTGRCAGACTTGACACTCAGCGATGAATTTCTGAGCAGATCCCTTCATTCCCGGCCAATCAAACTGCTGCAAAAGACTCCCATATGTCTTTTCGAAGCCGAAGTGTCCACTCCGACCATGTGCCAAATCCAAGAAGTGAGTCCAGAGAGGCGCATGGTTGGGAACACATAAACAATCAAACTTTCCGTACCGGCGGAAGACAAGACCCTCGCATTCGTGAAAATCAGGCTGACTGTTGGGGTCAGCCTTGAGCTGCTCAAGGATGGGACTAAGGTCCGGATCCTTGGCAGTGTGTTCGACCAGCTCCTCCTTCAGATTCCTCCGGAGGTCGTAAGAGTCCACAAGGCAAGTCAAATACTCGGGATGGCGCGACAAAGCATCAACAACACGATTATAACAACCTTTTTTGTGTTTCAACTCAAAACAGTAGACATCAATGTCATGCAACCAGCGGGTCAATGTAGGAGAGAGTTCAGATTGTGTCTGAATCCACTGCAAGGTCTGATGATCAGAGTAGACCTTGAAGTGGCGACCCAAGAGGTAGTGCTTCCAATGTGCGAGGGTTTCGTGCAGAGGGTAAAGCTCACGCATTTATGTGGAAGTAGCTGCCTTGTGGCTGGGCATGCGTTTGCTGTAATACTCGAGCGGACGCAGGCCATCACCATCATCTTGTTGCAGCACTGCACCAATCCAGAACTGGCTCGCGTCCGTAGTAACTACGAACGTGAGGTTGGGGTCTGCAATGCGAAGCACATGATGACTCACCAATGCCTCTTTCAAGGCTTGGAACGGAGACTCACACTTCTCACACCATGCATAGGCAACATTCTTGCTGGTTAGTCTTGAGAGCGGGTGAGCAATAATAGAAAATTTGGGTACAAACTTCCGGTAATAAGAAGCCAAACCCAGAAAAGAACGCAGTTCGCGTACGTTCGCCGGTTGAGGCCAGTTTTGAATGACCTCAACCTTGGTTGCCTCCGTCTCAAGGCCGTTTGCAGACAACCGGTGCCCGAGATAGATGACACTGTCCCTACCAAACTCAGATTTTTCCAAGTTGAGGTGCAGTTGAGTTTCTTTGAGGACTTGCAAAACCTCCTCAAGATGCTTGACGTGCTCATCCATGGACTTGCTGAAAATTAGAATGTCATCAAGATACACAACCACAAACCTGTTAAGCTGATGGCGGAGTACCTTGTCCATGAGGCACTGAAATGTGGCTGGTGCATTCGTAAGACCGAAGGGCATAACGATGAATTTGTACAACCTATCGCGCGTCTTGAATGCAGTTTTGTGCTGGTCGCTCGGATCGACTTCAATCTGGTGGTAGCCAAACTTGAGGTCGATCTTGGATAAGACTTTGCAACCACCGGCCGCATCTAACAAATCATCTATGCGAGGCAAGGGGTAGCGTTTTTCCTCGTGATTCGATTCAAGCCACAATAATCAATGCACATCCGGAGTTTGCCTCCTTTCTTCGGCACAAACAAGACAGGTGCGCCAAATTCAGACTCGCTAGGCCTAATCCATCCACGATCAATCATGTCATCAATCGGTCTCTGCAGCTCCTCTAACTCGCCTTGTCCCATGCGGTAGACGCAGCCCTTTGGAGGAACACTCCCTTCTATTATCTCGATTTTGTGCTTGACTGGACGCTCGGGAACTCCGCGCGGTTCAGCCAACACTTCAGGAAATCGATCTAATAGATGGCGAATGTTTGCTGGGATTTCCGATGGAGGATCATCCTCATCGGGTGAGAGAAAATCAGATCGGGAATTTACAGCAATTACAACCGATTTCGAGGTATTTGAGTCAGAAGTAGATTGATCATTTACAATAGAAGTAGGTGGAACAGAAGTAGAAGTAGTAGAGGTAGAATTACCTTCAAAGGTAGAAAATGCAGCAAAAGTAGAAGGCACATGGAGAGGCTTTACAAGAGCTATATGTGCAAACTCAGCTTCCTTACGCCTGCACACTGACCTGCAGAATTTGTTAGCACTGAGAAGAGTCACTGGGGACTCGCGCGTCTCATCTAATAAGACGGTATGCTCGTTCCCCTTGGCATCAAGCACCACGAACTGATTGTCCGCCCACGTGGTCCTTAGGCAATGAGCCTTTAGCCAGCCCAAGCCAATGACCGCGTCGAACGACACTTGTCCATGACATAGAAGTTGAGCTCATGGGTGACAGTGCGATCCTTGTCAAAGGTGATGCGCACACCTTTGACAGCATGAGTGGAAGTGACAACCTCTTGGTTGCCCACCTGAGTCTGGCAAGGGTTCTGCAGTTCCACTTGCTTCATACCCAGGCCCGCCTTACGAATCCCGTTCGGAGAAAAGAAGTTAGTGGTTGAACCACTGTCATTCAGCACACGGACATATCGGCGGTTAATGAGCAGCTTAAAGAAGGTCAGCTCCACGCCCCCCTGGACACGGCATTGCTGCTTGAGCTGCAGCCAATGCTCCATGTGGGCATGGAAGTCAACTTCTTTAGACTCCTCCCAAGGCTCAGTGTATAATACACGGACTGCACCAGCCTTGGATTCAGCATTGCTTCGGGCTTCAAGAGCAAGCTGCTGATTAGATCCAGGCTCCTCAGAGGGGCCTGCAGCCGACTGCTCGGCTTCTCTTGTTGTAGAGAGTGCTGATGTCTCCTCTACGCCCCTTGCCTGTTTCCCTGAAGACGATAGCAATCTTGCACAGCATGCCCAGGCTTCTGACAATGCAAGCATACGTGCAGTTTGGATCTTCTTTCCCATTCCTTTTGAGTGATGTGAAGAGCTTCCCAAGGCTTGGTAGAAGCGTCCTCCGGTTTCTCAGGGATCTTAGCATTTTTGGGAAGGTGTATGACAATTCCCTTACCTGAACCACGGTTAGGCCCCTTATTTGAAGCAGTCTTTCTGAATGCATTAAGTTTCTCATCATCATTTCTGTCACACTCAATGGCTGAAGTGGAACAGCCCGTATCGGAGTCCGGCTCTAAATCGTCATCTAGGGACAGATCATCCGCATAGGACTGATCATCAGCCTCCCGATGATCATGCAGTGCAAGCTGGTTGCTGGTTCCAAACCGCTTGCGTTGTGGTTTCCCACCTGCAGCGGGGGCCTTCTTGCGCCTGGCGAGGTCCTTGGTCTCTAGGTCGACTAGGTCCTTCATGAGCTCTCGCCAGGTGGCATGGTCCTTGAGTGCTAGCAGGGAGAGGTAATCTTTAGGGGGCACTCCCATGACTACATCCATACAAGATACGTCAGTCATTCCCAGATCCGGAGTGGTGAACAGACTAGTCAAGTGCTGTTCCAAAGCCTGCATGGATGACCTCCATGTTTGGCCCTTGAGGGCCTCAAGCTTCAGCCTAGCCTTGAGCGTAGCATGTTTATCCTGGTATCGGTCAAGGAGAAGATCCTCAAGAACGCGGACAGGGGTGACCTTCAGCCAATCAGTCAGGTCTATGCGTGCATAGACTGCAGCGACAGCTTGGAGCTCAATATGGTTTCGCACGGCGGGCTCAGTATTAGTCCCCATGATCATACTTCGGTCCTCTTGCGGTGTCCGCATGACCTCGAAGTACGACCGCATGGAACTAATCCAAGAGATGATGCCTGCCTTCCCGTCGTACTTGGACGGCAGCGTGGCCGCCCGCTTGTCCACCATGGGACCGCTGTATTGAACGCCAGTAAGAACTGTGGTGTTTTGGGCTGAAGTCCCTGCATTTGGGACCATGACCAGCGCAGAACTGTCGGCGCTGCCGCTCGAAGAGCTGGCACCGGTTCCTGTGCTTGCCATGGTTCCGCTTGATCTAACTATGAGGGTTGTGTTTGATTGAGAGACCGGGACTACAGCAGACCGCGGGCTAGGAGGGCGGGGGGCAGACAGTTGGGACTGTTTTAGGCTGGTTATCTCAGCCTGCAGCTCTTGGTTCCGCTGCTCCAGCGCTGTTACGCGGGTCTCGAGATCTTCCAAGCTCCACAGTCGAACCAAGGCTGCTACAGCAGCAGCTAGTTCCTCCTGGAACCGGTCAGCATTGGCTTCCGGGATCCGAAGGAGAGCCACCTGATCAGCAATGTCGGCGGCTCTAGCTGCTGCCGCTGCCTCCCTTTCCCTCTGCACGGCATCATCATACAGTTTTTGAAAGAATGGTTTCTGACTCTCGTCTGCTGCGTCCAGCATGGCCTGCCATTGGGCAGATGTGATGACCGCCATGCTGGAGGAAGGGGTGTTTGTAGAACTCTCAAGGGGGGTCCGCTCTCTCCTTACGTTTGGACGAACACTCCTCTTACCCCTTCTCACACTCTCAAACAGCACACCTTCTCTCTCCCTTTCCTCTCTTTTCGCTGTCTGCGCACGCGTCTCGATACTGGACATAGATAGTTCAGATAAAAGAAACAAACAGAAAACCACTCAAAGAAGAAGGTAGAAATCCTGGCCGGAGCGGCGAATCATTTGGACTTAGAGTGTGGCACGCAACAGAAGAATAAATAAAATAAATAAAAAAATAAAACAGCAGAGAGGTCTGATTTATAGAACGGGCCCGATCAGATCAGTTGGAGATCCCCTCTTGTCTAACCTGATAGGGGACATGTCATCATAATAAATCAGACGAAGAAGACTAATCTGCAGCAATGGAGATTTCGAGGGGTGCAGATGGTCGCCGAGTCAGACGCGGGGCAGTATGTGCTAACATGCGGTAAGGCCACTCAAGATCCCCTTGAAAGGAATGCCCTTGTTGTCCGTATGTCCCCCAAATCCAGCACAACAAAGAAATGCACTGGGGGCAACAGATCTGGGCCCAAAAGGTCCTGTCCCGTTGGGCCTGGTCCCACTGGGTCCCGAATGGTCCCAAGTAGGCCGTGGACCAGGAACAACGTGATAGGGGTACCAAGTCGGTCCCAAACTGCCTCTACCGTACTGGAAAGGAAAAAACAACTTTCAGCAAGAACTTACTTMTACAGCCGTTCAGGAATGAAAAAACAATGCACCGTAGAAAGGTATGTCATTTAGAGTAGATACATCATCCATCCATCCATCAGGTGAGAAAGCAATCCACAAGCTCACACACACAGCCAAGACCGCAGAGAAGAGGAAGAGAACCCAACACACCGCCAACATGCCATGAAGCACCAAGCAACCTCCCACGGGCTTACCCAGGTCACACGACACTTACCTGTGAGGCCCGGCCTCCAAAGATGGATAATGAGTCACTCCCCTCTCATATAAGTCCTCCTGACCCCTAGCTACCACTACACGAAGTGTCCTAGCATGACTAAGAGGGCCTTCCTACACCCCTGTTGCAAAGTCAGATCCCCCGTCGATGCCTGAAGACCAAAGTAGCAACTTGCAGCAATCCGATGCAGATATGGCAGCCTCCGATCAAGTCTCCCTCTTGAGGGGAAGCCCAAAAGTCACTCAATGTCTTCCTGAAGTCCAGAATCCAGGTGCGAGTACCTCTCACTCTCTACTCCCTCTCGCTTACTCCAATCAGCCTCCTTTGTGTCTCGCCACCCCAAAATTCACTCAAGCAACCTGGTTGGGTCCAATGTCGACCCTACATGACCTAACCAGGTGGGGTGTTACATGCTGCGCCTGCACAGGAGGGCCATTTTCCGGCCCTGCGTCGTTAAGGCTGGAAGCCTGAATTTCGGGCTCAAGGCCAGGAAAT